TTGCTTATCAACTTATCCAGCGTAACTCGCTTAGACTTCTGATACTTCGCTGACAGAGTAAGAATTACCAAGTTTCTAGTTGTGCACAATTCCGCCATAAAGCGGGCCCTCCGATCTCAATAAGTGCCAAAACTGTGGTAGTGACTTTGACTACGGAAGTGGGACACATGTGTACCACCAGTAGTCAAAGATTAACTTACGCAGGATGACTCGCTTTAGCTTCTGACGATTAACTGTCATAGTAAGAATTAGAAAGCTTCTATATGTGCACAATTCAGCCATCAAATGAGCGCTCCTGCCTCAATATTCCCTGGAACTGTGGTAGTGTCTTTGACTACGAAGTGGGACACATGTGTCCCACCAGTAGTCAAAGGGTTAAATACGTAGCGGTTGTTGTACTTAAAAAGAAATGAACATATCTGTAAAAGTCTGGTACAGCAGCAATTGAAGAAAGCAGAAAAAATGTTTAAAAATCCTCGAAATCACACAGCGCATTGATCATGCATGCGTGATTTGTCCTCCGCACCCACTTGCATCTCATTGGTCGTCTGTTCCTCTGACATGGTAGAATACAGGAAAATACGGTAACGATATGGGGTCAATCAATCAAGCTCTCATAGTAGGGCGGGGAGCGAGCCTCGCCCGTCAAACCGCCGCGCAATATGATTATGAGGGGTTTTAGCAGCTTCCCCGCTTTTTTCTATCACTATTTGATCAACCACTATAACCACTTCCAATTTTTTCGCGATCGTTCTGAAGGCATGGATCGCGATTAGATCTTTGGTGATGAGGTCAACAGATTAAATCTCGTCCAAATCGACCAAGCTTCCCCTCCTGCTGATGTTGGTTAATCGGTACTAAAATCTTCCATAGGATTGAAACACTAGCTAGTACATGGGCCGGTCACTGAGAGCGTTGTATAGACCAAACCGTATTCAAAACACTACCATGTACGATATAGAATGAAAGTAGAAGGCATGGCGTATCCCAAACAATAATTGCTCAACGCTGAATGTTTTATCCTTTATATCTCTCACTCTCATCGCTTTGTTTTCAGGTAATTCCATATCACCAACTGTGGGCGACATCGCTTCAGGCACTTCGAATCGTCTCACTTACCATATCACCACACCTGGACAGACAGTAATTCCACCAATTGGATTCCCGATATATCAAGTAGTACTTACGGGTGTTTTCAGGCCAAAATAGTGAATATGTCGGCGGTTATCACTGTTGAAGGAGTGTTGATGCCGGTGGAAGATCAACACATCTACGCCATAAGGGCAGCCGTTTCAGAAAAAGGTTAGTTATAGCTGCTCTTGAGCGTTCCGATTAACACGAGTTCTCCTTACAGATGGTTTCATCGTCTCTCGTATAACCGATCCGAGCGCTGGTGTTTCTTCTACCGTCCCTTGAGTTGGCAGGCATCATCAGATATCATACACTTCAGTTCGTCCGCGGTGAGTAATTGACGTCACTTTCTAAAGTTATTGCTGTTGACAAAATTCAAGGATAAATAATTCGGATTGTTAGGCCCAGTCTCGCACTTTGCATAATGACTTTTCTGAGTCATCGAAAGCAGCGAACGATCAAAAAAGACATTCGGTGCTAGCTTCATTTCGTAGCTTGTGAGTGCTATTTTGGAAAATGTTCTCCTTGAATTTTTAATCATCTACTCTTCAGTTATTCACAACCAAAACTATTGAAAAGCAGAAAATGAATTCAGAGTATCACCTGGCTACACTGGAGCCCTTTGGGGAACGTTGAAACTGCCGCCACTTCCCACAAATTATCGATTGACACGTGTTGTCGACCAGCGCGGTACGCCGGTTGCGCGTCGCCACGCCGGTCACGTGGATTGAAGGAAATGACGAGGTGCAGTTATAACTACTACTTTATTAACCTTACTCTAATTCATTGAATCGAGTGTTCAGCAGAAGCGGTCACGCGAGCAGTTGCGGAATCAGTATTAGGATGTTACCATGAATAGTGTCGTTTTTTTTTCAACCGGATTCTACTAATCTCTATTTTCTAATCATCCATCCTCTATGCCTCTTATGAAAACACGCAAAGGGGGGGGGGGCAAAAAAGTCACTTTGCTCCATGCACATCATCATCAACGTTTCGTAGCCTAGATGCCGCGCTGACGGAGTTTACAGCAAAATGGTATCACCTGTATCACCTGTCGTCCCGTTCGATCGTCGATTTGCTCGAGCGGGCGCCAGCAACGTCTCCATTCGTCCCTGTCGCGTGCTAGAGTGGTCCAGTGGATCCTCCTCGCTCGAGGGACACGAAGTCCTTCATTCCTTTCGTTCAGAGCTTTCGTGAAGAAGTCTGACCATCGGGCCGGCGGTCGTCCAGGTGTTCGTTTGACGTCCCGAGGGATCCAGTCGGTAACCGCTCTGGTCCAACGGTCATCGCAAAATCGCATGACGTGTCCGGCCCACCTTATCTTCGATTCCTTGGCGAAAACGGCAGCGTCCCTGATCTTCGATCGTTGGCGTAGTTCCGAACTCCGGATTCCCCTCTGCACTTGCGTGTATAGGGTTACTCCTAGCATCGTCCTCTCGACAGCGCGTTGGATAACGCTGACCGCATGCTCGTCCTGCCTGCGCAGAGTCCAAGTCTCTGAGGCGTAGGTTAGGGCAGGAAGGACAGCGGAATCGAAGAGGTGGGCACGGAGCCGGATGTTCTTCGTCTTCTTCACTACTCCCTCGATGTTCTTGTACGCTCCCCAAGCCGCTCGTTTCCTCCTGCTCAGCTCTGGAGCTAGATCGTTCATCATATTGATTTCCCGACCTAGGTACACGTAGCTGGAGCATTCGGTGATGTTCGTTCCGTTGAGCGTGAATGGGGCATCAGGAACCAATCCGTTTCTCATAAACATCGTCTTCGTTAGGTTAGAAGCAGACCTACCTTTCCAATTTATTTGCTTCAATTGGATTCTCAGATATAGCTAATATATTTGACAAGGCAGCGTCTGCCTCACCTACCAGAACCCCACTTTTACTTACTTATTGTTTGTTTCCTTGTAATACACGTACTTGACGATATTTTTCACGAAACCAAACCAATTGTCGTGGAGCCCGCAACGAAATGGGTCCTATCGACTGAATCATGTAGGAAATTATTACTAGATGGGACAACAATTGGCACAAGAAGTTACTGCTCCATTTTCTTGTTTCAAAACCGCCACCTGTGCTGTGTACTTATTCTGC